TCTTGATGAGCTGAACAAACTTGGTATTCAAAACTTTTCAATTTGAGACAATCTAGGGTTCCGAAAACTAGTTTGTAAGCATCGAAATTTAAAAATCACAAATTTGAACCATCCAAACTATCTCAAATGGAAAGTTGACCAAAACAACAATTGTAGATCTTGATGAGTTTAACAAACTTGGTATTCAAAACTTTTCAATTTGAAGTCATTTAGAGTTTATAATACTAGAGTCAAAGTGTTGTTTTTTTATTTGACCAAATTTGACTTGGTCAAACTTGCTCAAATGAGACACTAAATGATCTCAGATGAAAAAACTCTGAATACCAAGTTTGATCATCTCAGCAAGATCTACAATTGTTACATAACTTATTTTCCTATTTGATAAAGTTTTATCAAACACTAGTCACAAATTCTTGAATCTCATATTGACTTTCTAAAACTATGTCACACACTTGTGAAATTTGAATCATGCGGGCACAACAGTGAATTTCTTCTTGACGTATGACCCTTGGTTTTGATCTTGTCATAACCATGGAGTATCTTCATCATTTAACATGATGCTTGGATCTTTCTACACTATGAAGGGTGGAATTCGGACATTTCTTTCATAATCTTCTGACATGTCTGACTTGTCTTCAATTCCGACTATATTTATTTTCCCAGAAAGAACTATGTGGCGCTTTGGCTCATTGATCATTGAGTTGATGTCTTCGTTTTTTCCTCTCTTTGATTTTGTAGACATGTCTTTCACATAGAACACCTGACTCACATCGGCAGCAAGGACGAATGGTTCATCTTTGTACCCAATATTGTTGAGGTCCACTATTCTGATTCCACACTCTTTGTCAACTGTTACCCCTCCTCCGGTCAGCTTCACCGATTGGCACCGGAACAAAGGGACTTTAAAATTAGGTGCGTAGTCTAGTTCCCATATCTCTTCTATGTGGCCATAATATGTTTGTATATTCCCATTTGGATCTGTGCCATCTATGCGAACACCGCTATTTTGATTGGTGCTCCTTTTATCTTGGGCAACTGTGTAAAATGTATTCCCATTTATCTCGTACCCTTGGTACGTGAGGATATGCCACGATGGTTGCCTAGCCAACAAATACAATTGCTCATCAATATTGTCATCGCCTTGACATTCTTTTCGCAACCAACCACTAAAACTTTCCATGTGCTGATGCCTAATCCAAGCTTCAGTCTTCCCTGGAAACTTGGATCGTAAGAACTCTTTATATATCTCGATGTACGGATGCACCAATGACAAGTTCTGAAGAACTGTGTAGTGTGCTTTATTGAAATAATCGTCTTCCATACCGATATATGTTTTCTTCCCTAAAGTTCCTTTACCACTGAGTCTCCCCTCGTGTCGCGATTTGGGAACGCCAATCGTGTCTCCCCTCAGCAACACCTAAGAAATAGTGCACACCCTCAATAAAGTCTTGGGAGCGGTAATCGGCATTGTACATCCAATGGCGTGACATAATCTGCATTATACGACAAATTATGAAAACCTTGAACATAATTAAGTATTTTATTACACAACATAGATGACACACACACGGTTGATTAATTAACTAAGCCTGGCTACAACGTAAGCAATCCCAACTATCACTAAACAAACTAAAACTACAATGCACTTCAAGAACATAATTATTTCATGACCAGATGCAACTAAAAACAGACAAATCATTCGTCTATTGAATATCAATAAGCTTCTCCTGTTTGCTCATCAACGTCATCATCGCCAGCCGCTACCTCAAGCGCACCCGAATTACTGCATATGTAACATAATCTTCCTCCCAGTATCAACCATCGCATCCATTGTCCTCCCACTAAAATTAAAGCCAAAAAATATTTAGTCAAAAATATTCAAGAAAAGCAGGTCAATTAGCCATAATAATCAAATGCGTAGGAAACTCACATCGCGATCCGGGCACTTGTAGAAAACATGACCCTTGTTGGGTCCCTATCTCTTGACTCGGTACTCCATCACAATCTTTTGCTTACACTTGCCGAGATAATGAGAGGGAGTTCGCCCTCGATCGTTCAAGCAACCGAGCGAGAGGCCGAGGATCCGTACCGATTGTCATCTACTTTCTATACTTATTTTTGCAAACTAGTGTAAATTTCACATTTTCTAAAATAATATATTTAAACAAAACTAAAATTATTTATTTATCTAACTAAACCATGAAATATGTACTATGTATAATAGTAAAATACCAAACTATCAAGTGATTTTACTATTGTAAATCATCATGTGATTTTGAGCTAAAAATGACATAGAAATCACATAGCTCAAAAACATGTTTCAATAAATAACCATCCGTACTAGTTGACCTTGCTTACGTGATCATCTCGGCGAGCATTTCTCCACCGGACGACACCGTATTTGGCCAAGGAAGAGCTCTGATTCTACGAGGAAGGGAACACGGTCTTCCATGACCGTTGCCGCTCTCCCTCGTAGAATCAAAGCTCCTCCTTGACGTCCGTTACCGCTCGACAGAGAACATGCTCGCCGAGATGAACACGGTCTGCAAGTTCAACTAGTACGGATTTTCTATAATTTTCTAAGTATTTTCTAAGTTTTTCATTTCATGGAAAATTTAATTCTAAGATCACGTAAGATTTTGATGAACTAATTTAACTTTTGTTTATCCAAACATATATGCAAATCATCATGTGATTTTGAGCTAAAAATGACATAAAATCATAATAAAGTCCAACATATAAAGTTACACATGCATCTACATCGCAAAATGAGATAAGCTACTGATAAAACATAAGAGGATTAAGTTTGTTACCTCCAAAATCGAAGAGCAACACCAATGGAGAGGGAGAGAGCAAGAACAACAGCAAGCTGAAGAACAGAGGCAGTGAGTTTGAATGGAATGGCTTGGGCTCGGGGAGGAAGAAATGAGCTGGTTTATAGGCCGGATAATTAGTCCCGGTTAGGGGGCCAAACTGGGACTAAAGATTAATCTTTATTCCCAGGACATCACCTAAACTGGGACTAAACAATTTAGATCCCTGCCCCGCGGACGACCGTTCGGCAGGAACCTTTAGTCCCGATTGGTATTACCAACCGAGACTAAAGGAACCTTTAGTCCCAATTGGTATTACCAACCGAGACTAGGGGCAAAAAATGCCGAGGCTAATGCCAAATTGGGATATCGTTCTAAAGTCTGTTCTCTAGTAGTGTTCTTTTTTTTTGCCAAGTCTTCCTCCATCCGGCCATCATCATCATTATTAGCCACCAATGATTACTCCTGTCCTGTGTCAAAGCCAAGGCCATGTATCGCCATGGCGCACGCCCAGATGCCTCCGGTGGCTAGCTACCCCATGGATCCATGATGCCGATGCGGAAAATCCACCACCGTGTTGATCCGTCGTTGCGGCCTCCGATCCAGTTCGTTGTGACCGCCGCCGCCCATGCGCCATCGCCACCCACCATGCCGTGCCGGCCGCCCATCGCCATACCCACCGCCACGCCACGCCGCCATCTCTGCGGCTTGCTGCTTCCGCCATCATCGCCGCCTCCGCCATCTCTACACCGCAAGAAGATGCGATACCTCCAATTCCATACTGATATCTTGATTTTGATCTATGAATATGCATCACATCCATACCATATTTGTACTGGACACCAACCTACGACACCCATGCCTCCAGCTCAGTCCAACTTTATATTTCTCAAATTATTTTTTGACGGATTGTTTCCATCCTTTGTATGTCTCAAATTTTTTTTTGTCAGATTGTTTCTTTAGGTAAAATATCCATTAATTTGATGGCTATGTTTCTCCATCAATTCCATTGCTGTTTCGCAGGGAAAATGGCTCCACAGGTGCCTCCACAGGTGTCTCAATGAACAATTGCTGAAATGGATACAGAATTTGATGAGCTTGCCTCTGTTTTATCCAAAGATCCAAGGGACCAATTGACCTCTAGTATAGGTTTGCTTTATACATTCAGCACCACCAAATATTTCTTTGCGTAAAAATTATGATGTATTGTAGCGTGTTGCATCAAAGGAAATTAGGAAAGCTACAATTTTCTGCAGCCTCGTTTGTAATATAATGTTTCTATATTGCTTCTAGTGTATAAGAAAACTTACATGACCTTTTGTTAAGTTCATATGATGTGTCTTCTAGTTATCAGCAACTCGACTTATTAGTACTGATAGCGATTCCATTAATAATCTCCATGAGAACATGCAAGTTCTTGACTTCTTGTTTAATTGAATGCACCATTACTTGTTCATAGATCTGAACGAGAGCTACTATGAACAAACACATGGGGTTTGTGTTCATGCCGATGTCAAAAATCCTAGTTATATTACTTGCAACTGTGTTCACTTGCATTACTTCGTGTGCTGATGGTATAATAAAAGATAGCCATTTCTCTTGTATTTAGTTATGTAAAATTTACAAAATGTCTATTTTTGTTTCTATAGGTGAAATAACAACCAGGTTACGTTCACGTGGCTTTCGAACTGACAATTAACGTGATCAATTTGATTCAGATGTGGCAATGGATGAAAATAATCAAATAAATGCTGCAACACACAACACTAAAGGTGTTTTGCTAATCTGAAACCTGCTTCTTTACACCATTGTTTATTTTGCTGATTTAGCTAGGTACTGTTATGTTGATCTACATTTATTTCTTTATACGACATAATAACAAGTGCTACATTTAGCATGTCACAACCTGTTATACTAATCTAAAATTTGATTCTTGACACTATAGAGTACAAACATTACATTTAATTACCCTTGTTCTTTTCCCTAAATTAACTAGGCCTTGCTAAGAGTGGAAGAAAACTTACAATTAACAATCAACTTCGCAAGAGAAGAGCAAAAGGAAAGCATATTATTATAAAGTTCCCTAAAGAATTTGCAAAAGTGTGTGGAGAACATGCTAGTTTATTTAAAAGTGAGATAACAGTTCTTGTAAGAACTGTACCACTCCAAGTGAAGAAGTGGAGGGACATGGATAAGTTTCATCCTGGTACTACTACATCTGTTTGGAGAAAACTAAAGGTGACCTACTTTTCATATGAAATGAATATACTTGGCATGCATAGGTTATCATTGCATTCAGTGGCTGGTTATTACAATATATCTTTGCTATACAGCAAAAGTTTCCTAAGCTTTCAGAAGAAGATAAAGATTGTGCCATGAGACAAGTAGAGAGTCAATATAATAATCGGCGTTACCGTCTACTTCAAACTTACCGAAACAACAAGCCAAGGCCACAACATGTCTCACCAGAAGGTTGGCAATGGTTGATAAGGAATTTGTGGACGGATGATGATTTTCAGGTACATACAACTCATGTCCTAAATTACAGTCTTTGCATAATTGTTAATGATACATTTATGCAATTTGTAAACCAAAAAGGAGCAACCAAAACTCTATCAATAGAGGAAAGCAAGAGATGGGGTCCAAAGTAGGAACTAGATCAATTGCTCAAATCGCTTCTGATCCGGTGAGGAAAATAGTTACAGACATGATTTTTTCTATTACACATCGTTCTGAATTAGTGAATATATGCTTTTGTTATTCCAATGCAGCGAGACCCAGAAACTGGTGAATGGCCTACTGCTATGCAAGTTTGGAGGGCTACATATCAAAAGGCTCATGGGACATGGTCCATTCCAATGGGTGAAGAAATAATGGTATAACCATATTACTTCACTTTCTGATGGCATCTTTGGGTTTCACATTTGTCAATCTGTATCCTACCTTTTGAACTAGGATTAGGTGGAAGTGGTGTGTTTTTTGTATGAAAAAGTATGGTAGTAGAATTATGTATGACTCTTTCATGGTTATTATCTCTGCAATGTAGTCTCTGTATTGTTCATTTAATGAGTTGAAAAGTCTAGCCACTATGAAATGTTTGCAGTATCTCTAATCATGAACAATATCGTTTTATTAAGTTGTTTGTAAATTTCATATATTATTTAATTTGTCTGCAATTTTCAATTATTAGATAACATGTTTGCAGATTTTTTTAAACAGTAGCAACTCTGAGAACATTTGGATGTTACACTATCCTATAGCTAATTTGTGCTCATACCTATGATTCATTATATGAACGCTTTTGCCTGCTGTGTAGTATATGAGTTCTTAATTAGTTTGTTTTTCATGCTTTGCAGACCAAACTACATGAAGCTACTAGGATACATCAAGAAAAGATTTCTTCTGCGCCCGTGCCAATAGTGGAGCACTTCACACCAGTTCTTGGTTGAAATCCAAACCATTCATGTGGTGTTGGCATTCGTACTGTAAAGTGATTGGTTGAGGAAAGAATCAGATTATAGGCGCAAATTGAGGCTTCTGAACATCATGAAGCTGCAGCTCGAGCACGTGCAGATGCTGCTGAGCAACATGCTGAGGCTACTGAGCAACGAGCACAAGATTTGGAAATCCAAGTTTCCATGATGGTTGAAACAAATGCACAACTGCAAGAAGAGCAGCAATCCCAACGTGATGAGCTGAGTTCTTTGCGTCAAGCACAGAGTGGAGAAGTTGCTTGTCTAGTGAGAGAACAACTTGATCATCAAATGGCTTAATTAATTGCACGCATTGGTGCCTCACAGCCTCCAACATCTTAGAGTTTAAACACTTTAGTTGAATAATTATTGTGAGACTTTAAAATAGTGTCAAGAGAGTTATTTTGAGGTTTGAGTGTTCTTAGTTTTATGTAATGCTTGAATGCCAAATTTGAATTATTGAAATAAATATTATTGGTGCAGATTTGAAATAATCATATTGCTATAATGTATATTTTGTGAGCTATTTTTGTCACTACAACAAGGATAATAATGATAACTTGGTCGCCACAACATCTAATGTGTTTCACACAATTGAAACTTATCTTGTGACAAAACTTGTCCAGACTAATATTTTCCTACAAATGCTATGCTTTTTTGTGATGAAACTATTGATACATTTTGTCTTGTCAGTTCTCACAAAAAGATATTTTTTTGTGACAAAGGTTTGCCACCGTAGTTTACATGTGAGGATTAGTTTGCATCACAAATGAAAAGTATTTGCCTTAACAAGTTACCACTTTTTCCCATACATATTGTGGTACACAATTAGACATAATTATAATTTAATAGTGAGAACAAGCATCGACACGACAAACTCAAGTAATGGCGAAACTTTGGTCACCAATATGTAGTCTTTAGTGACCACAAAATTTGTCACTTTTACAATGGTAATTGTGACAATTATATTGCCATAGATTCTGTATAGTTGTGGCAACTATTATCACCACTAAAAATATTATGAGTGGCATCATTTTTTGCCACTAATGCATATGTTTTTGTGACGAATGAACCACAAATGGTCCCATTACTAGTGGCAGTACAATTTGTCACTAATGAGTATGGTCATTTGTGGGGAACAAAAAATCATCACTAGAGTATCTGTGAGGCGAGTATTTGTGGTGACTAGTGGCGATTTAAAAATTCGCCACAAAGGCTGGTTTGTGGCGAAAAAATAAGCTTTTGTGATGAAAATTTTTGCCACAAAAACCCTTTGCCCTTGTGGTTTCAGCGATATATCCCTCTGCTATAGAACCTTTAGGTTGTGCTTTGTTCCTCACATATCCTTTCAACGTACGTAGATACCTCTCGACATGATACATCCATCTATAACACACAGGTCCTCCAATTCTAACCTCCTCAGCTAAATGAACCGGCAAATGCATCATAATATCAAAAAATGTTGGTGGGAATAACATCTCTAGCCGACATAAAGTCTCTCCAATCGAAGAGGTTAGTTTTTCAAGGTCACTTTCCACCGGTTCCTTTGAACATAATGAACCAAAGAATCTACTTAGTTGAATCAATGGGATAGCAACATCTTGAGGCAATATGTCACGTACTACTAGTGGTAATAGTTTCTGTAATATAACATGATAGTCATGAGTCTTTAATCCAGAAACCTTGCATCCCTTGACGTCCACGCATCTCTTTATATTTGCTGCAAAACCATCAGGCATCCTCACTCCTTGTAGGAATTTGCATAACATTTCCTTCTCATCCTTGCCTAAGTTGTACAACACTGGTGGCAAAGTATACTTGCCATTCTCCATCATAGGTTGTTGATCCTTCCTGATCCCAAGATTCTATAAGTCAAGCCGAGCCTTCTCACCATCCTTACATTTACCATCAATGCCAAGCAATGTCCCCAATATGCTCTCACCAATGTTCTTCTCGAAGTGCATGGCATCCAAATTATGACTAATAAGCAATTTTTCCCAGTACGGTAGTTGGAAGAATACACTTTTTTTCTCCAATTGTGCCACCTAGTTTCTTCTTCACGCTGCTTCCTCTTCCTTGTGCCTTGCCCAAGTTTTGGTTGCTCAAAACTGTCATACTGCTGCAGAACCTCGTCACCATTAAGCGGCACCGGAGCCTCCCTTGTTTCTACCTTGTTGTTGAAGCTACTTTTATTCCTGCGCCATCTATGGTTCTGTGGCAAAAAGTGATGATGACCCAGGTAGCAATGCTTGCACCCAAATTTCAACCATAAGTACTCTGTAAACTTATGACAGTAATGACGCAAACTTGCCTTTAGTACTCCAACTAGATAGCATGGCATATGCAGGGAAATCATTTATGGTCCATAGTAGTACTACACATAAAGTAAAAAATTTCCTAACTTTTGCATCCCATGTGAGATCACCTTTTTCCCAAAGATCCTTTAGCTCATCGATCAGTGGCTGCAAATAGACATCGATGTTCATTCCAGGAGATTTGGGCCCTGGTATTAGCATTGACATCATCCAATATGATTGTTTTAAACACAACCAAGGAGGCAAGTCATAAGGGATTATGATGACAGGCCAAGTAGTGTATGTAACATTCAACATCCCAAATGAATTGAAGCCATCAGAGGCAAGTCCAAGCCTTACATTGCGAGGGTCAGATGCAAATTACTCCTCCAGGGCATCCAAATGCTTCTATGCCAACGAGTCCGTAGGGTGACGCATTTCCCCATCATGCACCAGTCCTTCCTTATACCAACGCATAAGTGTTGATGTCGACTCCCTCATAAACAATCTTTGTAGCCGAGGAGTAAGTGGGAAATACCACAAGATCTTACGTGGAAAACGCTTTTGTCCGCCACAAGTGCTAGAGGACTCAGCATCTTCAGAAGAATCAGTCCCTTTCCACCTAGACTGACCACAGGTTGGACATGTATCCAAGTCAGCATAATCCCCATGAAATAACACACAGTCGTTCACACATGCATGAATCTTTTGGTAGTCGAGTCCAAGATCTTGAACAACCTTACGCAGTTTATCCAAGGTGTCTGGGATTTCAGGGTGGAACAACGTGAATAGATCAAGGATCGACTGTATTCCATTGTTACTAAAACCATGCATGCACTTCATCTGATAGATCCTGATAATGAAATAAACATTTGTAGCCTCCTTGCAGCCTGGATACAGTTCCTTTTGTGCCTCAGTTAATAACTTAAAAAAATTATTTACACTCTCATTTGGCTCTTCATCTCCACTTCCTGTGAGTTCACCATGTATAGCTCCTCTGATTAGTGCAGAAATCAGTTCTTTGCTAGCAGGCGCATCACCTGTTTCGCCATCATCATATTCTCCTTCAGCAGGGTTATCCTCCTGAGGACATGCAACTAAATCTTTAACATTACCTTCTTTGATGAAAGTTTCATCGAACCCTCTAAGTACCAAATGACATTGAACATCTTTTTGATTTCTGTAGGACATGCAATGGCAACGAGCACATGGACATGGCGCAATTTCTTCTTTAGATGTGCCTCCAAAGGTATTCTGAATGAAGTCCTTAAATCTTTTTTGCCATTTAGCAGTATAGTTCGCCATGCGCATCCAGCTCCTATCTTCAGTCGACATGCTGCTGCATTGCCTCCTGGAAAACAGCCCACCGACTCTTCACCGTGGACCCAACCTTCCCAACAACACCAGCTATATTATCCGATTGCCCTGCCTGCTTCACCTTGACACCTGCATTAAATCAGTACAGATTTGGAAACCTACTCTAATGTGACTCATGTTACTTCAACATATGCAATTAGCACGCTAACACAAATGAAATCAGAGCTGAAGCAAAGAAACCCCCAAACAGAAATGTCAAACAGATCAGCTCATTTCAAATGTCATTTTGCTAAAAATTCAATTAAAATACTATGCCAACCAAATAGTGCTCAGATTAACCAAGCAATTCCACGTAACAGCCTGCTACATATGCATTCAAAGTGCTTAGTACCTAATTAGCATGTTCATAATTACACATGGGAACAATCCAAGCAGTTAGAATGGCTCGGAGAAACAAAAAACCACCCTTCAATACCATTGCCTTGTGAACAGAAAGTCTACTGTTAAAAGTTCAAGAAATATAATTGGCAACGATTTATTTGCAAAGAGGGTAGTCAAACTGACAGGCTCACATCCTGAGCTGTTCATCAGTTAATCATTAGTTACCACAAAGCTACCCAATCAACACAATGACAGGCTCACATCCCAATCAATCACAAGACAAGATTATGCTGACTCGCAATTCAGAGATCTTGATATTTTTCTTAAACAAAAAAGATATATCTATGGATTCTATGAAACTTCAGGAGTAAACCCACATAATGTTAAAAGGATTTTCATTGATGATACATGTAGATCCGATGCTCACTAATATGCCAATTTCAGAAAGTTGGACAAGCCATGGCTGCCACTACTCTGTTGCAAAGCTGCCAGATCTAAGGCCATGGCTGCCATTTCTCCTATCCACATACAGTTCACAGTCAAATTGGGAATTTTATCATGTGCCTCAAATAAGCTTTTCTCGGCTATATGTATCATTGGGCATATATCAGGAACTCAAAAGTAAAAAAGAATCATGCCAATTATCTAGCAGTCACAGAATTTACCTGCAAATGGAGTGCCAATATTTGTAGGATTGCAGCTGGCAACAAACGCCTTGATGGCATGCGACAGCCTTGATGCTTATCAGAGGTGTATTAAACTGTGTAATGATGACAATGACAATTCATATTAGGTAACTGGAGAGATGGTGAAGCAACTGAAATAACTGACCGATGATGAACTACATGTGAGAGGTGTCAGCTTGCTGACAATCATAAACAACAACCTATAGGCTATACACCATAAACAACAACCACAAATTAAAGTGATTTATGGTCCATGTGCTTATAAGTTAGGCAAAAAATGATCTTAGGATTGATTTGC